TCTGTGATTCTAGTATAAATGGCATTGGTGTAACATCCTTGACACATATGATCCTTAGAGACATTAGTTAACTCCCCCGATACATGTCTGAGGGACTCTTCAGTACACAGTATCCCCACAGTATCAGGCACACGCATTTCAGGTGTAAATCATTGCATCTCACACTTCCAGGCTAGGTAAATGGCTGTTTTGCCAGAGCCTCTCTTTTAAAAGGCAGCAGCAGTGCTACCTGAAGGGCCCCTCAGCCACAGCCAGACAAGGAGCCTCTGCTGAAGCCCAGGGAGAAGAGAGGTCTCCATGGCAACAGGGGCCCCAGCACTCTCAGAACCCCCCTTCATTCTTTCCTCAAACTCTATTTTTCTTCCAAAGAGAATTGCTTAGTAGTTCAACTGAACACACATAAAAAACAAAAGTGTAACGTCTATTCCAGGCAGACTTTACCAAGGTGCATCCTGAGCTGAGCTTAACTGCTGCACAGTTCATGGCTCCTGAGGCTTAGAACCACCCATACAAAACTGGGGAAAATTATTACCACAATGTTATGGTACTGCAATATGTTGTTACTATGCAGTTATACTACATGCAACCAGCACTCATATCATCATTTGCCTGATGCTTTTCAGACTTGATTTTCAGTCACTTTTTGCTTTGCCAAACTTTATTTCAGCTAATCAGCAACTAAATGAATCTATGCAAAGTCCCTGGTTTAGAATATTTCATCTAATACACTTCTTTTAAGTGTGATACCAGTGAAACAAAACATCATAATTCCCATCCCCAAACCTTTTTGTTTCTTACCCTCAGGTGACTCTACCATTTTTGTGGGCACAGCTATAAATTTTGGCTGGACCTCTTGCAGACACAATCCTCATTCTTTAAAAATTCTCTCAGTCTAGCCTTGAGTCATGTATCTGCAGTATTTTTACTGCAAGATTCCCTGCTCCATTCTTTACAGAAGTTGCCTATGGCAAGCTTTACTGGGAGCTATTCAAAGATAGATATTTATTCCTTATGCTAACATACATTTGCCCTTATAAACACGTTACCTAAGCTGTCTTACTTCAGGTTTGTACCCCATGAGGGACCTATCCCTTTAAAAATTAGTTGCTGCAACAATGTCATTTTACACCTCTCTGCACAGATGCCAAGACAAGGAGAAGAAGATCAGTTTCAGGGCAGAGAGAGACTGGGAAATCTTCAAGAAAAGGGGCAAGCCAGGACACTGTAAAGGCAGAGGTTGAGTTTGCATTGTGATACTGGACATCTCTCAAAGCACATAATTTTCCTTCAAAGCATGGTTAGAAACCAGGAGGTAACCAATCAACCCATGGCTTTCCAAAAAGTGCTGTAACCATTGAAATAGAGTTGAAACTTTAGCAGAGCATCCTCAGCTCTTCCAGTTAAATTTCCCTCTGTACAGGACAGATTTAGGAAGACAAAAGAGCAAGGAACATAGAGCCTAATTCCTCAAACCTTAAATAAGGCACTGATCTAAAAGGTCTGGGAAAGTTCCTTGGATTTGGGATTCTATGGGATACAGCTAGTAAAAAATGCATTGAAAGTAAGATGCATATTCAATCTGGGAAGTAGACATTAGCACTGAGGATGTCTCTTTCTCATTGTAATTTGCATCAATTTTGTGCTTGTGGATTTTTTTCCTAAGTGACTGACAATAATTATTTTTTTAAAGAAGAAATTCAGTTTTATATCACATCAAAATTGTGAACATACTCAAATAGTCTCAGGGGCAAATGTCAATTCTCAGACTTTGAAAATACGAAAAGAACAGAAACCCCAAACCAGGAAAAGGGGAAATTTAAGTTAGATATATGGAAGAATAAGCTGTGAGGGTGGTGAGACACTGGAACAGGTTGCCCAGGGAAGTTATGGATGCTCTGTCCCGGGAAGTGTTCAAGGCCAGGTTGGATCGGGCATTGAGCAGCCTGGTCTAATTAAAGGCATCCCTGCCCATGGCAGGGGTGTTGGAACAAGATGATCCTTAAGGTCCCTTCCAACTCAAACATTTTACAATGGGATATAATCTTATCTAAACCTGACATGACACAAGCATTCAGTTATACCTGTCAGTAAAAGCACAACTCATAAGCTACTCCATTTATCTGCTGTGGCTTTATATGCAGGTAAGTAAACTGTGGGAAAGCCCATGTTCAAAGAGCCCACATCCTCATCTTCCTCAAAACTGTTATTTCTGGTCTTCCCTTTTCCTGAGAAGGTTCTATTGTCCACTGCATTTCACCCATCATTTTTATCTCCCTTTCAAACTAAGTTCACTGTCCACACTGGTTCCAAGAGTTCTTTGGAGACCCTCTTCATTTCCAAGATCTCACCCCACTGCTCACACTCAACTGAAAGAGACTGCAGCCACCTCTAGAGACCTCTCCCCATCAAAACTCTGAAGTGATACACTCTCTTTCCTCTTTCAAAGCTGAAGTAATAATTAGTCCCTGCATACTGATTCCTTCTAATGGCAAGAGGAAAATACACCTTGCATATCAGTATTGCTGTACTCCTATATTCACTGCAAAACTGATCTCAAGAATCTTCTTTGCTAAAAAGAAAGCTATTAAAAATTTAGTCACTTGAAAAGGGAGCCCTATGTCATCCCAAGATTAAAACAAATAAAAAAAAAGTTTGACTCTTCCTTGTGTTCAACAGATATAATGAAACACTCAAAACAGCACTGTTCTGTCATATCACAGTGAGAACTAACACAAGAATTTATCCTAGTGTTCCAAGCCTTCCCACAGGTCTCAAATAGAGGCCTTAAATGGGAGAAAAGAAAACCATAACATGCATCTCTCTCACAGCTGACAACATTCTTCTGTGCAGCAGGGACCTAAATTAAATTCACAATACCAACTGTGATTCTTCCCTCTTGCAGGACCTGGACCTCTCCATGCTGTAGATTCCAGCTAATGTCAGACCCCTGTAATCATTAGTAAGACTGAGCCATATAGTTTTGTTCCACTTCAAGCTGAAACTAAAAATAATTTCTTCCTTTAAATGGGTAATGCTATTTTATCAATAGCAAAGTACCTTGGGGACTCACTGATGATGTGAAATGCACAAGCTGCACATCCACCCAAACCAAAAAGGATTCAAACCCACACATCATACTCCTAAGGGGTGTGACTCTCATCTCAGGTTTTAGGGAGGAGGATAGTCTTATCCACCTAATGAAGGGCTGACCCTCTGCAAAGAGGAACCTGGGACTCACTAGAACAAAGAACTGCTATTCTTCATCTTAACTGAGGGGCTCACCTGATGGAGAAAAGAGCTGGATGCCACTCATGCTCTAAGGACCACAGCAGAGGATAAATGATAACTTAATTAACAGCATTTCTGCAAGCATTAAGTGTGAGGCAAATACCCAGTTGTTATCCCTTATTGATGCAGATACTGTCCAGCAAATATGAGAGATGTGGCTTTCTTTCCATACAGTAAAGAAGAAATACTAGTACATTCATTGGGTTGATATGGGAAGACATTTTTAAAGCCTCCAAAATTTTCAGCTGTTAAGATAGTGTGTATCATAAATGTTTTAAACTAGCGTTTCAGGGACACAGGGAGACTAGTAGCAAAGACTACTAGTTTCAAAAAAATAGTTGAAATTGGTTTTCATCACTGTAAATGCATGAGGCCCACTGCTAACATTTGTCATGGCACTAGTGCATTTTCATAATTAAAAAAGTATATTATTTCCTCCCCTGTTTAGCTCTTTGATAGGCCTAGAAAAGTTATTGATCTGGAGGTTTCAGAACAACACAGAGTACCTATGATATTAAAAGTATCATTTCCCCACACTATATGCTAAGAAGAAAAAAAGCACGAACTGTGAGGATTATCTCCACTGCACAGAGGAAGAACTGATGCCAAAAGACTCAGTGATTTTTAGTAATACCCAGTAAGTGCATTGTTGACTGGGACTCAACACTGCTCCATGGCTATGCTTACCATCTTCTTAGAAATTATTTAAGTTATATTAAATATTACCAAAAAAGATACAGATATGAGAATTTATTACCATGACCACAAAAATGGACTTTAGCATTACTCGAGATCAGGAAAATCCAAAACAAATCCTTGATAAAATGAGCCAATGACCATCAGCAAATTCCTGATGAACTCCCTTAAGAAAGTTGGATGTTTTCTTAGTCAAGCCCTGTGTGTAAAGCCTTGAATGACTGAGATGGTAGTGACATTTTACTGAAATCCAGCCTAGTTATCTCCCAAACAGTGCTAACTTGACTCACCAAAAAGCTTATTTTGCCTTGGTGGGGTTTTTTGGGGGTTTTTGTTTGTTTGTTTAGGTGTTTTTGTGTTTGGGGTGGTTGTTTTTGTTTGTTTGTGCTTTTGCTAAGAAATGCACACATATTCCTAACAAAACAATTTGATATAAGCATTAAGAAAGCAAATGTACACACATTCATAAAATTACATAGCAATGCCTTACTACCACATATCTATGATTCCTACTGTAAGAGTAATAAGTACACAAGATTGCACATGGTTATAAATATTTACAGTATAAAGTACTTCTAAAGGATTTATTTAAAATCTGCGGAACACAAATACCAAATTACTGCAGAGTGAAACAGAAATTCAGCAAAACTTGTTTTAAAACACTCCATACCCTTGTTTATGTTAAAGAGAACAGATCCCATTGCAGCTGAAAATAAGCATGTCATTAACCCATCTAATTTTTGCCCGTTAAATGCTGGTAGAAAAGGTTACTAAGCATACATACATGTAATGTATAAGTTCTTATCCATAATGAATATATTTTATAGCAACAGCTTTTACACACCAAAATCTACAAGGAACTTGAAATCATACACCCGAGAAACAGAAATGCATTAAGAAGAGTCACGAAGGCAACCAGTGATGCCAGTTACATTTTGGTCTGCAGTCCCTGACCGCAAGGATGTTTAAAAAAAAAAAAAAAAAATCAACAAAGAACTCCAGCAACTCTCACTCACCCAGCAAAGAGCCCACAAAGATGACAACCTGCACGGTGGTGGTGAAGTGCCGGTAGCTCTGTTCCTCGCCGTGCTCCTCGCCCTCCACGGCGCCCGCCTCGCTGACATTCCCGCCCTGCCACACCATCTGCCCGGCCGAGGCGTTCCCCGTCTCCAGAGCTCCGGTGACAGCCTGGGACGGGGCATGGTCGCTTTCATTCATCAACACCCAGCTTCTGTCGTACCCCATGGCGAAATTCCCGCCTTCCTTGCTGCCACCTAGTAACACAGGTTGTCCAGCCCTTGTCTTTAGTGAATGAATGCAGCGCACAGGTCAAAAGACGCTTCTGAGGATAAAAGCCCGGTCTCTGCCTCTCGGAGGCATCTTCACCACATTCCTGCGTCCCGAGAAGCAGGCTGACTGTTCGTCTTTTCACCTTGTAACTCATGACAGCCAGCAAACAAAAGCAGAAAACAAGCCAGGCTTCTCCTTCCCATCAGCTGTGCCATAGTTTTTACTTCACACCGCCACAGGTCTCCTCAGCATGTTTTACCGCAATATGCGAGAGAAGGGATCCCGGTCCCCAGAATCACACCCCGCACCGCGGCGGGTCACACGCTCGCACGGCCGCGGATTCACTGCACAGCAAAACCGGCCTGCAAGAGTGGGGGGCCACCAACTCTGTCCCCTCACTCTCAGCGTTGGCTCTGGCTTTGCTCACAGCCCTGAGAGAGGAAAAGCATGGCTTTCCCGGTAACACATCTGCTTCCGCCCTCTCCTCTGCTCCTGCCCGCTCCCTCCCGCCTCTCTGCGGGCTGTGCGCGGCGCCGGACGCCGCTACGACCCCAGCACAGCGTCCAGAGAGGCCAGGGACTGCTCAGGGGCTGCCGCGGCGCTCCCGCTGCTCTGGGCGAGAGGAACCGGGGCTTGACTCGCAAGGCGGGGGCGCTCGAGGCGGCTCCGTTCGATCCCTGCGCGTCCCGCACTGAGCGCGGCTGGCAGCGGCGCCCCTGCTCCGCCGAGCTCCCACATCCCGGAGCGGCCGCCGAGCCTCTGCGGCCCCGAGTGCCAAACCCCGCGGCGATCCCGAGCCGGGCCGAAGCAGGAGCGCCCGGCCCGCCGCGCTCCCAAGGGCGGGCGCGCCGCCATCACGGAACCGCGGCCGCGGCGCTCGGCGGCGCCGCCATTTCGCTCGGGGGCTGCGGGAGCGGGCGGGCGCGTTTTAAACCGGTGTTTTGAAACAGGTCCCTAATTCTGATGACGCACTGTCAAAATACGGTGCTGGGTTCTAGATGCGCATGTTGCTTGTTAAAATAGATCTTTTTCTAGATGAGTAATTTTCCAGAAAAGCTTGTCAGTGGACGTAATAGGTTCGGGCATTGATGGTGTGCATCCATATAGTGGGTACACGATTGCCTTTGATTTGGAGGTGTTGGGGAGGTGCTAGTTGAAAATTAAGCCAAAAAGTTTTTTTCAGCCACTGGCCGCCAGTCTGGAAGTGCCCCAGGAAGACGAGTTATCCATGTGGTCAGCCCCTACACAGCGCTGCTTCCTCAGGGACCCAACACTTATGTGTTCAGTGACATCTGCCCAGTCTCCTGCGATGTGAACTTTGGTGATCCAGGACAGACCTAGGTGCTGTGCCATGTGTTCAAAGGCATTTGCTGACCACAGGAATATCAGACTGCCATTGTCCCATTCCACTGCAGTTCCTGGAGGCTGTTGGCCAAACCTCTGCTTGTACCTCCATGTGTTTGGGCCCAGGCATTTGAAGCCTTCTCTCATTCCTCTGGGAGTTCATTGCTCCAGCCACTTTTCTACTAAGTCATGTCTCTGACTCACTCACCCTCCTACCTCTTCCACACACTCATTCACTTTGTCCACCCAGTCCCATTCTTCCCCACTTTCCAAGCAATAATCAGCAACTTTCACCATGCTTTCCCCTTATCTTTCCTTTCCTGAACAGGCTTCTTCCTCCTTTTGGCCTCCAGCATTCTTGTGGCCAATGTCTGTAACCAGAGTCTGACCTCAGTCCCTTCAGCTCCCAGTCACCTGCAAGGTGCTCTTCCTCACACAGCCATCCCTTTCTTCAGTTCCTCCATTGGTATGGAATGATGACTAAGGAGGCAGGCAATGCTTACTGTGTATCCGATGCGATGTCTGCACAGATCTGCATAGTCAAGAAAGATTGAGTTTTCTAAAGGAAGAGGTCCTGTGGGCATAGGATGGTCCAGGTTTGACTTAGGAATGGAACAGAACAGAAGTATGTTGCATGACTGGAACTTTGAAGGACACCATGGCCTAAAAAGAAATCTTTGCCTGATTAAAAGTCATTTAAATATTTACAAACTCACATCTGCATATGCTAATAAGCTTAATGAAGTACATGCTACCACAAAAATGACTGTATTATTCAACACTCTGCTTAGACCATGCTGTAAGTAAATGCAGCTCCTCTGATCTCTGGAGACCAGCTGGAATGCAAGAGGTTTTATTTTCTGCCAAATTTCTTACTCTTAACACTCAGAACCTTTTCTGTCCCTCCTGCACTTCATAGGAAGACTGACTTCCCCTCACTGTGCACATGGGGAAGTGAAAGCACATTCTCACAAATCATTTAAATTTTATTTGCTAGAATTAAATTTTAATGTTGTGGGAGAGAGTTTTAAATTTTGCCTTAAATCTTGGAAGCAAAGCTTCTGTCCAGATGCAGTCTGGCACATGTTTGAGGCAGGTGGATGTTCATCATATTCCAGTAAAATGGTGCTAAGCATGTGAATACTCCCTGCAGTAATGTAATTTGGTTTAGTTCATGCAGATTTTCAGAAGGTTAGTTAGCAAAGCCACAGAACTTGAAAAAGGTTGTCTCTTCCTCATCGAATTTTCACTCCTGCTGGAGTACAAGACTTTTAAAAACAAATTCTCAGAATGTTTTTATGATTATGTTAGTTTACTCTGGCTTTCTTCTTAGAAACAATGAATCATTATAAAAGCAATTAAGGAGAAAAAATAGCTTGAGGTAGACATCTGGTCTAGAGCACTTCATCTTAACTGGTTAAAATTTTGTCAAGTCACAAAAGTATGGGAAAGTCGGGCAGCTTTAAAAGGCATACCCTTATCTGGCCCACCCACTGCTATACAGTGTCACAGGGAGAAATTTCCCATGTGGTGGGCTGTGTGCCCCACACCACATGCTCGGGAAGTATAAACCTATAATCGCTGTTAAAGGAAATTTTGCTGACATTTCTTAGTTACTATATCACCAAGTCATTCTTGCTGTGTATTTGTGTGGGAGAGAAGATGAATCTGTGGCCTAGACACTTTTATTTCCAGTCTTTAACACAGGGAAACTTTTTATCTATTATATACAAATTGATAATAACTGTACCCAGCTGTACCAGAGGAAACTCCAGTGATCAGTTACAGTGCCCCAGGACACAGATGACTGAGCAAAAAAGTATGTCTCTGTTGTTGGTAAACACTATAAACATCTTTGGTCATGCATTTCCCACCAAAAAGCAGGTGAGCTAGAAAGACCTTGCCACTAAAGACACATTCTAGGAATGGTGAGGAACGGAGACCAGCATCACAATAGTGATACAATTTAACACTTGTTTTTGGTTTGATACTAACGAGGTTGTTTCAGTGCGACTGAAAGATAAAGTGTGGGTGGAACAAGCTTTCAATTTCAGAAGTACAAATTGAGGGCTATAGAAACTGGTCATTAGCGTAAATGAATGGTCTCTTTATAACAAAATATCTGTACTCAAGGGTCAGGGAGTAAAGTTAAAGTCACCAAAACTCCATTCCTACATCTGGGTGCATGGTAGCAAGCTGCAGACTACTGTAACACTTTTCTTTGCCTGGGGATTACTTTACTTAATGGATAAGCTTGTATGTATGAATTTACTTAGGGTTTCTTTATGAAGATTCCAAAACTTTAAAGGCTCCCTCTCGTGGCAGTCCTTTTCAGTAATTACCGCGTGAAGTGACCGAAGGAAAGCACATTTTCTTCTCTGGTTGTCACCGCTCCCTGACAGTCCCCAGCTGCCTCTCTCTGGCAGGTCCCACCAAGCACACCCGCCCTCACTTTTTTGTTTGCAGTTCAACAAAAAACTGTTCGCCCTCCACCTGCTATTACTCACTACAGCAACTATCGGTGGGAACCTTTCTACAGTTTCCACAGGAACTACATGAAATCTAGCTCTACATGAAATCTATACTGAAATCCGTGGTTAGTGTTTTCCTTTTGTAACTCTTTCTCAGTATCAGTTTTAAATGAACTACACAGTATCTCACTGTCTTTGCTGTGTATCCCGGTAATGCAGATATACCTGGAGGCATATCTTGAGGGAGTTCAGACTGGACATTAGGAAAGGTTCTTCACCCCAGAGGGTGGCTGGTCACCGGAACAGGTTCCCAGGGAAGTGGCCGTGGCACCAAGTGTCCCAGAGTTTGGACAGTGCTCTTAGTCACTGTTTAGTATTCGGGAGTCCCGTGAGGAGCAGGGCGCTGCACTCGGCGATCCTTAGGGGCCCATTCCAGCTCGATGCATTCCTGCGGACGAACCACCGGGGCCCACGCGGCGCCGGCAGCCCCGGCCCCGGCTCCTCCTCCTGCCGCCGCGGCGGAGGCGGCGCCGGGCCCGCTCCGGCTCCAGCCCCAGCCCGGCACCGGGGCCCGCCATGGCCGCTGCGCGCCCCCGCCGCCGCTGACATGGCGCGGGCCAGCGGCGGGCGGCAGCTGCCGGCGGAGCTCGCCGCGGAGCCGCCGGAGAGCTACCAGCTGCGGCAGGAGAACGAGCTCCAGGTGCTGGAGTCCATTTACGGGCAGGACTTCCAGGACCTGCGGCAGAGCCAGGCCTGGAAGGTAGCGAGCGGGGCCGGGGCCGGTGCGGAGCGGGCTCGGAGGGCGGCGGGGACGCGGCTGGCGCTGCCCGGCTGAGGCCGCTCCTTGCCTTCCTTGCCCGACGTGTCGCGGCTCTCGCTGCGTGCCCGTGGTCCTTCCCTCAGCCCTGCAACCGGCCCCCTTTGCGATTGATTCTCGAGATAGCAGTGCTCACTCTATGATCACACCCGTGCTCATGAATTGCATTCTAAATAATTGTTAGGCTTTTTAAATATTGCCTCTTAATTAATTCCTTAACCTACTAGTTACATACTTGCTCACCTAATTAATCTCGTCGGTATACATGATGATATAGTTATTATAGTTATTATATACCGTGGTTTTGTTGCAATGCCTCTATTTCCATGATAATAATTTTGCTTTCATTTTTATGGGTGTGGGGTTTTTTTATTACCAGCTCAGGCCTGGTACTCACTACTCTCTTCCATTTGTCTTTTGGGTCCCCATCAAATTGATATTTCCTTTCCAACTGTGTCCATGATACTGTTTTCCTGTATCTGGAGATAATGGTCACTATTCTGTTCCACAGGTTCACTTTTACTGTTGTTTCCTTTTGCATTCTTGCATCTTGAATGTCTATAAGATATCCTCTGCTTTCTTTTGTGTCAGAGACTTGAAGTTAAATATTTTGCAGCAACTTATGACTTTTTTCTCTTTTTTTGAAGTTTGGTAAGAATACTTAAGTAATTTGTTGGGTTTCCAGAAATATTCACTCTGTATTGAAGGTCATATCTGATACCCTCTTCACCTGACATGATCTCCTCCTTGCTGGAAAAGCAAAGGGGACAGTTACCATCTGTTTCTGTATTTGTTATTACATGTAGTCTTACTTCACTCCCTGTTTTTCATGTTGCTGAGGGCTGGGTTGTTTTGTTGCTTGTTTTTAAACCTAATTGAAAAGAAAAAGTTGGGAATACTTATATGGGTGTCTGATTTTGAGTAGGTAATTTGAGCAGGGAAGGGATGGGAAAGGCAATGCTTGTTAAAATTCTGGTTTATGGCAAAACACAAAATACAACTACAAAAAAAAAATACTGTCCATTTGTTTGACTGTGTAAGGTGTAGATCAGTGTGACATTATGGTCTGCTGCCATGTCAGAAAGTAAAATAATGCCTGGGTTAGTAATCTAAACACAAATGA